GGACATCAAAAGCAGCTATTCCTTGGAGTTTGGGTCGACTCTTTTTTTTATTTTTTATTTTTTTTGAGTTTGGGTCGACTCTTTTTTTTATTTTATTTTTTTGAGTTTGGGTCGACTCGTCACTCTGGTATGAAACTCACATCAACACTCTGCTCTCTAAAGTTAAATCCAGAACAGGTTTTCACTTCTGAAACAAATCATCTATGACTCAATCTGCTAAGTGTCTTGTGGTAAAAATGACAACTCTTCTGATGTTCTACTGTGGTGATGTCCTCTGCCAGAACTGCTTCCCAAACGCTCCTCCACAAGCTGGACTCTCTTTACCGTGCAGCCGTCAGATTTGTCACTGCAGCTCCAGTCAGCAGTCATTATTGCACTTTGACCTCTGACCTTCCTTGTGAAGTGGACTCTCTTCGCTCCCACAGGAAAACAAACTGGTTCCTGCTGATCTACAAAACCCAGATTGGTAAAACTCCATCTTATCTCTGTTCGTTAACCTCTCTGTACCTTAATCATGCACCACTTTTAGCCGCTTATCTTTACAATTTTCTGCAGCTTATGATTGGAATCTCTTCTCCAAAAAACACTTTGTTCCTTTTGCATCGTTTTAAAATGTAGTAAGAGCATCTCTTGACAGCTGCACATGCGTTTAGCAATATTAATTTCAATATCGGTCACTCGTTTGCACACCATCTTTTAATTTATCTTTGATTGTCTACCACTCAATCAAACTGGGCTATTTATTTATTTGTTTATTTATTAGTTATTCATTTGTCTTGTGTTCGCCTGTTCCTGTCTCTTGCCCAGGTTGTCATTGTAAATGAGAATTTGTTCTCAGCTGACTAAACTGGTTAAATAAAAGGTCAAATAAAAAATAAATATCATCCTGCGACAAAAGCAAACGCTGCCAAAAATGGCAATTTTAAATTTAAATTTAAAATGTGTTCATTGAAAACAGGATGGTACCTGTGCTCCAGCAGTTTAAAGTGCAGCTCAGACACCGGCTGCAAGTTTGATGTGTTGGAAGCACTCGCAGTGTTAGCAGTGTTAGCAGCGTTAGCAGCGTTAGCAGCAGCGTTAGCCATGTTAGCAGTGTTAGCAGTGTTAGCAGCGTTAGCAGCGTTAGCAGTGTTAGCAGCGTTAGCAGTGTTAGCAGTGTTAGCAGCGTTAGCAGCGTTAGCAGCGTTAGCAGTGTTAGCAGCGTTAGCAGTGTTAGCAGTATTAGCAGCGTTAGCAGCGTTAGCAGTGTTAGCAGTGTTAGCAGCGTTAAAATTTGCTTTTGTCGCAGGCTGATGACTTCACATTAAAAGCCAAGCACTCCCAGCATAGACTGCTTTGAATTCTGAAATATTTAAATGTAAACTTCAACATTTAGCCATATTTAAGATTCAACTTTTACATCAATTATTTAACATTTAAATTTGACATATTTAGTACAAATTAAACAAGAACACTGAGCTAAATAACAATGAAATCTTTGTGAAATTGTTTTTAACAGAAAGTGAGCTAAATAATGATGAGTTAATGACATTTTTTTGAACATTTTTTTACACTTGGTGCCCCATAAATACCTAAACAGATAATACAGAACCATAAATAAAACCTAATTAGATCATAAAATCTTATATAAGCATAACATCTATGTTCCCAAAAAGTATCATAGTCCATTATCTTTTTACGACAGAACTTTAAAGATTTTTCAATACCACAATAAATACGATGTTTAGACAGAGTTAAAATGAAACATTTGAAAACTATTGGTTGATGGTATCTGTCTTTTTAGATTATGTCCAAAACATGGCCGTCATCTTGAAAGCCTCCCAATTATTTGCYGAGATATTCAGATGTCTCATTTTCCTTTTTACTTCYGAAATAWAAAAAATATGTCCTGTCTTTTGACTCACTCTGTTGAACAKTTTCCTAAGTTTAAAAAGTAACCAGCTGTAATAAAAAAATGCTGCTGAGACCAGAATAATCCAGTGATGTCATGGTTTTACCTTAGTAAGCAACTTTTACTTAACCTGTTTGAATTAGTTTAACCCAAATTGTGTGTGAAATGTTTTTAATTTAATGCCTCCATCTCCAAAAYACGTCACTTTAATCAAGTCTGTTTTCTTCTGCAGCTGGTTGAAAGTAAAATCACCATAAAGCAAGCGGTGAAGTGAACACACTCAGCTGTTTGCTCAGGGAGCAGAGCAGCTGGAAACCATTCAAACATGGAGACCATGTGATAAGAGCAAATGTAGGTGTGACGGTCAGATAAATGTTGATGCTGTAACGTCAGATAAAAGTGTTCATTTGAAATTATCGACCCTCAGACGACACTCACACCTGCGCCCGGTCGACGTGACCTGCCATCATGAAGTGATAATCTTTGCTCTGTCTGGTTGGAGGTTTTACAGCCGTTGAGCAACACCGGAGGCGATGCCAGGGAGGGGGAATCACAGACACCTCCTCTGCCTGCCAAGTCCGCAGTCACGCAGCCTGAAGCTGCCAGGCCGGGTCGGGTGACGACTCGAACAGGTCTTTCAACATTAGCTCCCACGAGTGTCCTAAGATCTGTCTGTGACGTCTCCCAGGACCCCCGGGACTCACTGCAACCCTTGACCAAAGCCAAAGACCACCACAAAAACTGACGGGTTTGGATTTTTAGGCACAAATATGGCAAAAGTCATTCCGACACATTTTATCACACAGAAACCCAGTGAACTGCAATGATTCACTGCATGATGAAACAGCACCTTCAAGTTATTTCAAATCTGTCCTGAGTGCAGCCGGGSACTCTCAGGTTTCTCAAGACTTGAATGTGACACGAGAGCAGCGGTCTGACTGTCTGACTGGAGAATATCAGTCCAGGTTCAAGACCTTTGGGATTTCTTTGGTTGGAGAAAGTTTTAGAAATAAAACTTCAACAGGATCTTATTATCTGCCTGAATTGTTTGGCCAAACCAGTGGTTCTCAAACTGTGGGGCAGATCGCCTGGGGGTGTGCCCCCCCCCCCCCCCCCACCACCAAACATTCATTAAATATTCATTAGATATCTCTCTGCTTAATAGCTGACCCATTTGGAAATATAAATTTGAAAGTAAGCGTAAACTAACTTTTTTTTGCATTAATTTTTGCTTATGTAAAGAWATTCAAACAAAATGTGATTAATACAACCCCTGACAAAACGTATGGAATCACCAGTCCTGGATGAGCACTCATTCAGACATTTCATTCTGTGAAACCAACTCAGATCAAAAACATGATAAAAATTTTTCCAAAGTGCAACTTGTTGGCTTTCAGGAACACTTAAAGAAATGAAGAGAAAACATTGTGGAAGTCAGTGAATGTTACTTTTATTCACCAAGCACAGGGAAAAAAATATGAAGGTGATGCTATCACCATAAATATGTATTAGCTCAGCGCTACACGTTCTCCTCGTCACTGAGGTCCTCCATCCACATGACAGAGAGGGGAACACAAAAATGACTCAGTCTGCTACTGAAAATATGGATGGAGGACCTCAGTTTAGCTTGTTTGTCGTGCTAGCGCCAAGCTAATACATATAAGGCAATATAGCGTCTGCACTAGCGTGAAGGCTAACAGGCTAAGCTGAGGTTGATCTTCCATGAAGCAGCTCTGTTG